GAGGCCGAGTCCCACGTACAGCAACTAGAAGGATGTGAACCTATGACATACAACTATCTACTGGGGCTTTGGGGGGAAAAAACTGAATAAATAAAATCTTTAAAAAAAAAAAAAAAAGAAACACTTGGTGGCATAGTGGTTAAGTTTCCGTACTCTGCTTTGGTGGCCTGGAAGTTCGGATCCTGGGCGCAGACCTACACCACTCATCAAGCCATGCTGTGGCAGCACCCCATATACAAAAAATAGAGGAAAATTGGCACAGATGTTAGCTCAGGGCCAATCTTCCTCACCAAAAAGAAAAAAAAAAAGAACCAACAATTCTTGGGAAAGCTTTCCAGGAGTCCAAATGATTCGTTTTACCATTGGCTCTACATGGGCCTTCCTAGGGGTTTAGCAGGTGTTGTGGTGAGTGAGGGTTAGGATGCTGCAAGAAATATCATACTGGGCACAGAGGAACAATTCCCGTTCCCCTTAACATTCCTGTATATATCCAAGTCTATCAGCCAAGGGCAGAGCTAGCATTTATACTCAGGTTCTCAGATTCCCTTCCCCAACTGGTCTGAGGGAACTTGCTGCTGCGGTACCAGCCTGCTTGCTTTCCAGTCCACCAGTGCTATTCAAGGCAGAAACTTATCCAGCAGCCATCAAGGAAGACTAGCTGCTCCTCTTCTTAACCATGCAGTTATTAAATCTTTTCCCACCTGTTCCTCTCAGGACTCAAGTTGCATATCCTATCAAAAATCCTTGGAATTAACCACAAAAGGAGGTTTTATCTCTGGAAACCCAAGTCCTGTGATCTGCCAGACACAGTCTCTGGGAAGTATTTAAGGCCCACAGTTCTGTTTTAAAAGCAAAATCAGAAGAAGTACCAAATTTTGTTTCTCTGCATTCATGAAAGTTCATTCAGTAAGGTGGACTTCTTTTCCAAAATTGGAGGGAAATTTGCTCTTCTTTTTTCCCTCCCCTTGGGTAAATCTCTGGCCCTTTGCTAAAAGAGCCCATCTGCAGGATAATTGCTTAGGGGAAGGACATCTGCTTGGAGACAAATAGCACTAGAGCTGGGGAGCTCACCCTTGGAGAAGGAAGTAAGAAGAGGCTAGAACTGTGTAGAAAGAGGCATCATAGGGTTACTGTTAGTTTTATAAAAATATTTTCCTGGTTTATTGTAACACAGGCCCCCAAAATACAAGCAGGAGACTCTGGTACAGACAAAATAACACTATGCTGAGAACATAATTTCATTTCTAAAACAAAGGTGAGAATCAATTGCATTATTTATACAAACTGGTTATCTAACATCATCAAGGTTTAAAACTAAGTCACAAGGTAGCTTGTTTAAGCACTGTGTGTCTGACTCTACCTCCCTCTTACTTACTTATTTTCCATTAGGAAGTCCACAACGTATTTTTTCAAGCAGTAGAGATGGGCGTCCACAAGGCCTGTGTGGAAACGTATTCTAGGGTGCCTGCAAAAAGAATGAGAGAGAAGGGGCTCACAATCAGGTAAAATGGGTTCTATCCTATTATTAGGTCATAGGCATTAGAAAGTTTATAAGGGTCAGAGCCATGCTGCCCCGACCCCACTCAGGGGACACCAAGATGGTGGATACCAGCTCTGATCCTATCACATAAAAGGTCTTCTCCTAGAGAAACCCTGTCTCACACTTTATGAAGCTTTTAGACTTTCAAAGACATTAAACAAAAATTGGTGAACCATCAAATCACTGATAAGCCACTTTCTTCTACTCTATCACAAACTCCTACCCACAATTCTTGTAACTAACATTTTCTTGCTTCTGTCCCAACTGCCCCACTTCCTGCAGGCCATACTTTAGCCATGCTTTCCTCCAGGATTTGGCATGTACAGTAGTCCCTCCTTATGTGCAGTTTCGCTTTAGGTTTTAGTTACCTGTGATCAACCGAGGTCTGAAAATATTCAATGGAAAATTCCAGAAATAAACAATTCATAAGTTTTAAATTGTGTGCCATTCTGAGTAGCGTGATGAAATCTCGTGCTGTCCCACTCCGTCTCCCCCAAAATGTGAACCATCCCTTTGTCTAGCACATCCACCCTGTATACTCTACCCGCCTATTAGTCACTTAGTAGGCATCTAGGTTATCAGATCGGCTTTCATGGTAGTGCAGTGCTTGTGTTCAAGTAACTCTTATTTTACTTAATAATGGCCCCAAAGCGCAAGAGTAGTGAGACTGGCAATTTGGAGATGCCAAAGAGAAGCCATAGAATGCTTCCTTTAAGTGAAAAGGTGAAAGTTCTCAAATTAATAAGAAAAAAAAAAATTGTATGCTGAGGTTGCTAAGATCTATGATAACTTTTATTACAGTGTATTGTTATAATTGTTCTATTTTATTATTAGTGTTGCTAATCTCTTACTGTGCCTAATTTATAAATTAAACTTTATCATAGGTATGTATGTATAGGAAAAAACATAGTATATGTAGGGTTCAGTACTGTCTGGGGTTTTAGGCATCCACTAGGAGTCTTGGAATGTATCCCCCGCAGATAAGGGGGGACTACTGTATTACTCCATTTTCATAGATGACGAAGTAAAATTCTATGAATATTCCCTAACTCCCTACTCATTTATTCATCAGGACTTTCCCCAGGTATACTTATTCCAGGAAACCTTCACTGACAACCCAAGTTTGTGCTCCCACAAGACTGGTGCCTACCTCTATCAGATAACTTATACAGAAAGTATCAGCCTATTTACTTGTCTCTCTCTCCCACTAGATTAAAAGTTCCCTGAGGGCAGAGATTTATCTTTATAGCCTTAGCACTGAGCATTGTACCTCACACAGAATAAATGTTTAATAAATAGCTGTTGAATAAACAAACAAATGAATAAATTAAGTCAAATTAAGGCATTTGCCTAGTTGCTGTCTATTGTAGTATGCCATTTTTGGTTTCAGTCTTAAGAAAAGCCATACTTATAATGTCCAAGGTCATTTTATTTAATAAAAACAGATAGCTGAGGGAGAGGAAGGGAAGAGTAGAGAGGAAAAATGAAGATTCCAATCGTCATCTTTCTTTTACTCGGTGTTACTTTGCTTTGACTGGCTTATAGTTTTTTTTGTGTGTGTGAGGAAGACCAGCCCTGAGCTAACATCCATGCCAATCCTCCTCTTTTTTGCTGAGGAAGACTGGCCCTGGGCTAACATGCATGCCCATCTTCCTCCACTTTATATGGGACGCCACCACAGCATGGCTTAACAAGCGGTGCGTCAGTGCGCACCCGGGATCCAAACCGGCGAACCCCGGGCCGCTGCAGCAGAGCGCACGTACTTAACCACTTGCGCCACCGGGCTGGCCCCTGGCTTATAGTTTTAAGGAAAATTATTCTCATGGCATCTACACATCCTAGAAATAATTTATCAAATAAGTTACAATGCACCACCCTGCGCTTCCACTCTTTTGGGAGAAGGAAGAACAAAATGTTTCCAAAAGAGCAACAGAGGAGTCAGACTTGGGATCCCACACCCATAACACACACATACACACACACACACACACACGTGTGCATGCCAATTAATGTATACAATAAGAATGAAGGAAAAAGTAGAAGGTACTTCCCAATCCTAACTTTCTGAGATTCTTGAGTTCTAAGAAATTCCTCAGGAAATATAATTTTGCAAATGTGAATGTGGTTACCTTGTGGTGCCAGGGTTTCTTCTGAAGTCCACATCCTGATAATTCTCTGCCTTGATCTAAGCAGTTTAGAAAGTTGCATTCTCTTGTTCAGTCCCTTGGTTTACAAATTCCTGGAATCATTCCACACACGCTACCTATATTATTTAATCCTCACAACTACCTCATGAGGTAGATACAGTACTCTCACTTTTATAGCTGAGGTCAACTTGTATTATACAACCAGGAACAGAATAACTTAAGAGTTTGAATAATCATCCTCTAATCTGTTATCAATCCCTAGCAGACATGGCACTAGCATTCATTTAGCATTTTATAGTTTATAAATGTTTTTTCAGCTTTTTACTCTCATAAAAGTAGGTAAAACAAAAAATTCTTCTATTTCTTTTTCTATGTTTTTTTTTGTGAGGAAGACTGGCCCTGGGCTAACATCCGTGCCCATCTTCCCCCACTTTATATGGGACGCCGCCACAGCCTGGCCTGACAAGCGATGCATTGGTGCGCGCCGCTTGTCTGGCCATGCTGAGGCCACGTCCCACATGCAGCAACTAGAAGGATGTGCAACTGTGACATGCAACTGTCTGCTGGGGCTTTGGGGAGGAAAAGGAGGAGGATTGGCAACAGATGTTAGCTCAGAGCCAGTCTTCCTCAGCAAAAAGAGGAGGATTGGCATGGATGTTAGCTCAGGGCTGATCTTCCTCACAAAAAAAAAAAAGAAAAAATGTTCCAAAAATTTTGCTGGTATACTCAAGTCTAGAGATTTAGCTACAAATCTGGAATACAACAAAGGAACAGAGATGGGCAACTCAGAGATATTTTTTCTTTCAGATTAAATTTGTAGTGAATGTAAATCTTGGGACTAGGAGACTAAATGGCATTTAACGTCCCCAAAAGGTGGTTTCCTTATTTCATTTTATTGTTTTTAAATGATATTAGATATAAGGATTGATATTTTAAAACAAAACAAAATAAAGAAAAAACTTCTTTTCAAAAGACGTACCAGTAAAATCTGAGTAACTGGCTGATTACTCTGGTCCAGGAAGATGTTTTGGATTTGTATAAAATAAAGTAAGGAGGGGCCAGCCTGGTGGCCTAGCGGTTAAGTGCACGTGCTCAGCTTTGGTGGCCTGGGGTTCCCGCGTTCAGATCCCGGGCGCGCACCGAAGCACCGCTTGTCAGGCCATGTTGTGGCGGCGTCCCATATACAGTGGAGGAAGATGGGCACGGATGTTAGCCCAGGGCCAATCTGTCTCAGAAAAAAGAGGAGGATTGGCATCGGATGTTAGCTCAGGGCTAATCTTCCTCACAAAAAAAATAAATAAATAAAATTAAGGAATCAGTAAATGGAAATAAATAAAACATTAATAATAAATAATTGTAATTATCAATAAGAAATAATTGTGATTTTGTTTTAACAAATAATTTAAAACAATTTGCCAACCATAAACAAGTCCATGCAATAAAAGATAATATATATGAAAAATTTGTGGGAATTTTTCCAATGATAAAATAAAAATAAAAGCTCAGAGAAATGGTGTAAAAAATTTAATCTTCAAAATCTATAAGATCTTTGAAAAACTCTCACAAGGTTTTTATTTTCTTCATCTAACAAGATGCTTAGATGTTTCATCTAAGCATAATTTTTTTTTATATATATACATTTTGTGTGTGTGTGTGTGTGTGTGTGTGAGGAAGATCAGCCCTGTGCTAACATCTGCCAATGCTCCTCTTTTTTTGCTGAGGAAGACTGGCCCTGGGCTAACATCCATGCCCATCTTCCTCTACTTTATATGGGATGCCGCCACAGCGTGGCTTACCAAGCAGTGCGTTGGTGCACGCCTGGGATCCGAACCGGGGAACCCCAGGCTGCCGCAGTGGAGCGCGCGCACTCAACTGCTTGCGCCACGGGGCCAGCCCCAACATAAGCATAATTTTAAAAATGCTTTAAAAAAGATCTATTATATTGGGCTGGCCCCATGGCTTAGCGGTTAAGTGCGCGCGCTCCGCTACTGGCGGCCCCGGTTGGGATCCCAGGCGCGCACCGATGCTGAGGCCGTGTCCCACACACAGCAACTAGAAGGATGTGCAACTATGACATACAGCTATCTACTGGGGCTTTGGGGGAAAAAATACATAAATAAATAAATAAAAAGATCTATTATAAAAAAAGAAAAATGGAGTGGAGAAGAAAAGATCTCAGAAAAGTTGAACAGACAATGGACAAAGATACAAAAGTCTAGGAAACCAAGGACAAGATAAGCCATCAAGAACATAAAGAATATCTTTGGGTTATTTTCATAGACCTATTTTTAAAAGAGTGAGTCATAGATTTTAGAATTTGAATTTGTAATGTTTAAAATTTTGAGGGAAATACAGCATGTTTTTATGATCTTAAAAACAGGAATACCAGTTTTTAAAGGAAGGAACAAAACCAACAGGTGAAATACTTATAACAATTATTAATAATATTATTTTAGAAAAAACAAGGAATGTATACATGAAATAAATACTGGGAAAGATGCAAGGATTAGGCATTTACTGTTTAGCCACAAAGATCAACAGCTTTTTTGTGTGTGTGTGTGTGAGGAAGATCAGCCCTGAGCTAACATCCATGCTAATCCTCCTCATTTTTTGCTGAGGAAGACTGGCTCTGAGCTAACGTCTATTGCCAATCCTCCTCCTTTTTTTTTTTTCCCCAAAGCCCCAGTAGATAGTTGTATGTCATAGCTGCACTTCCTTCTAGTTGCTTATGTGGGATGCGGTCTCAGCATGGCCGGAGAAGCGGTGCGTCGGTGCGCG